TGAGTTGTCCATTTCTGAAATTCTGTTGTTTATCTTTTGGATTTCTAGTTGCTGTTTTTGTACAACTTCTAATTGTTTATGTATTTTGAAGTTTTGTTCTTGTATTATTTTCCTGAATTCTTCTATTTTTTTCCCTGTGTTTTCCTTGATTTTGGCTACGTTTTTATCTGTATTTTCCATGGTTTTGTCTATTTTTTCATTGGTTTTTGTCTGTGTTTTCCTTGATCTTTTTCCTAATCTCTTGGCAAGCCCTAAGTATTAGACTTTGAATTCTATATCCGGTAGTTCCACTGCTTTTTCTTCTACTGCAAGGTCTTTTGATTTTTTTATTTTGGTCACTTGCTGGAGCCATCTTGTCCTGCTTTTTTAAATGTTTTCATATTGTCTGCTGTCTCAGAGACATTAGGTATTATTTTCTTTATTTATTGATTGTATGTTTGTTTATTTCATCCTGCTTCTTTGTTTTGTTCTGCTATGTCAGGGCGGGCAGGCCAGGGCACAATAGTGCTCACCACCTTGTCCAAGCGGGCAGGGCAGCAACAGGCAGGGTGGACCTGCTCAGCTGTACACTTGTTTGGAAAGATGGCTGAGGGCAGACTGGGTAGGTGCTGTCTGCCTCCTGATGTTGGTTCAGTTGTGCAGAAGCATTCACAGCCCCTCACCAGATAGGCAGAGATATTGGACAGGTAGTGGTATGGGCTCACTTCCCTCTGTTCAGCAGCTGGTTGAGTGATGGGAAGTGAGGGGTAGTGCAGGCCCAGTGCAGTGGCAGTCCTGAGCTGGGGGACACTCTAGCTGCAGCGGCATGGCAAGGGCTGGCAGGAAGGGGGCATGGGATATGAGGCTACATGGGGAGAACAAAGAAAATAGATAGAAAGAGAAAAAGGGTGGTAGCCAGCGAGTGGGGGCAGGGCAGACGTGGGGGCTGACGGGAAGTGGTTTATGGGGCTAGGTGGGAGGTAGAAAGTGGTGGGCCAGTGGCTCTCTAGATGCAGTGGTGTGGCATGGCCCAGCAAGAAGAGGGGGAGATGGCTTGTGAGGCTAAGTGTGAGGGAAAGAAAAATAAACAAATAAATAAAATAAAAAATGGCATGGTGGGGGCTGGCAGGTGGGGACAGGTGGAGATGGGTGGGACCCGAGGCAGTGGCCAGCTGGTAGCTCTGTACCTATGGCAGTGCAGTGAGGCTCTGCAGGAAGGGGTAGAGGTGGCCTAAAGGGCTAGGTTGAAGGGAGAAAGAAAAGCTATAAAGGGAGAAAAAGAAAAAAAATGGCATGGCAAGAGCTGACAGTTGGGGGTGATGTAGACCCAGGGTGGTGGTGGGCTGGTGCCTCTTTAGCCAAGGTGGTGCAGCATGGCCTGGCGGGAATGGGTAGAGGCAAAGTATACATTTTGTCTGCAAGCCTGTTTGAGGTCAGGATTATGATCTGAGGAATCAGGGGAGACCCTCACACTCCTGCTAAGTTCAAGTTTCTAGTCAGCCTATTTTCTTTGCTGTTCTCTGAAGGACCATTTTAGGGGGGAACAGGTGCATCTGTCAGGCATTATGTCATGATTGTGGAAAAATCTTTGTGTGTGGCAATTTTACTCTAAGTTTTACTTTGGTTTTAGGAAAGGCAACGTCATCTGTGGTGTGGTTGCACTCGGCAATCAGAGCCTAGAGAGATTTGGGGAACAGTAGTGAACAGGACATTCCCAGATTTCTATTCACCATCCTCAGTGTTGATTTCAAATAGGATTCAAGTCACATTTTCAAGGTGAAAATTTCCCAGGGAGTTCTATAAACTGGTACAATTTCCTTGATTATTCACTTACACCCAGCTGAACTGGAACAATTTCTTCCTGCATCCTGATCCTGGTTCCACTCTTTCTCCCCATCTTCCTGGTTACTCAGTTAAAAATCCCCTTTCTTTCTAGAGGTGATCCATACCTGAAGGATCTTCCTCCCTGGAGCTCTCCAATCCCAGAAATCATTTTGAACTAGCGGTCTGTTCCCATGAGCTGTGTGATGATTAAGATCATATGTCAGCTTGGCTGGGCCATGATTCTCAGTGTTTTGGCAGTTGTATAATGTTGTGATCACTTCCTTGTTGAAATTTGATACGTCATCATCCCCATGATGGAATCTGCTGAGTGGTACCAGCAGGGGTGGGGCCTGTGGCGGCTCGCTGCCCCCTTAGCCTTTATCTCTCTGCCCTCCTCTGCCTAGTTCCTTCCTGCTCACCTTGCCAGGGCTTTTGCTTGTTCTAGATCCTGCTGCTGTCTCCTGTTTGTCTGACCTCCGGTTCTTGGGACTTGAGCTAGCAGCTTGCCTGCCGATCTTGAGATTTGTCTATCTTCACAGCCTGCTACAGCCCTGCTCTCCAGCCTGCTGATCTTGGGTTCACCAGCCCCTTCTGCTACATGAATCAGGAAAATCCTCTTTCCTGCCCCAAAGACTTGGGATGTTACCCAGCCTCTAAAAACCATGTGAGCCATTTCCTTGATATAAATCTCTCTATATATGTATACACTTTACTGGTTTTGCTTCTCTAGAGAACCCAGCCTAAGACAAGCTGCAATCTGTTCAGGTCTATAACCATTTCTTCCTCCCCTCTTGCCCTTCTTTCTTCCATGAGCTTTTTAAGTGTTCTGCTCCAGGGCGCAATTATTGTATACAGAATGTCATGGTCACATCTCTTTATATAACTCTAATTCTCCACCCCTGTTTCATCCACAAACGATCAGCTCTTGGGTCCTCAGAAGCACTTGTGAGCCATGCACAGTGGGGACAGAGTATTCCCTCTTCAGCCTCAACACATCACTGCCCATCTCTTTCCTTCCTTGTAGTTTTTCACTTCTAGTCCAAGAGACCCAGACGCCAACCTGGAGGTGAGCCCTGAAGAAAGTTGGAACCATGCTGACCTTGTGCACAATGAAGAAGCAGACTCAGCCTCTGGAAACCCTACTATCAATGCAGATGAGGAAAACGGGTGTCCCCAAATCTGCCGTGTATGTGGAGACAAGGCTACTGGTTATCACTTTAATGTCATGACATGTGAAGGATGCAAGGGCTTTTTCAGGTAGAGTTTCCTGTCAACTCTCACCCACCTGCCACCACCAACCCACATCTAACAGAGGTCCTGCCTTTAACACACTGGGCAACATCTCAGAGCTTAGGATGGACCTGCCTCCAGGTTCAGAGTGTGGGCTGCTGGCTCAGCAAAAGGCGTCCTGATTAGTCTCAAGTGAGCCATTTACGTCTCAGAGGATTCCTTTACAGGTGATCTCTGCCTTTCCTCTCTACATAGGAGATACTCCTTTGATAGGAGCAGCCTTAAGATACTCCTTCATTTCCCCATTTGTTCTTGAATAAAATAGAAGATCAGTCAGTAACAGAGGAAAGAATTTGAAAATCTAAAATGTGAGTGTTCATATCAGTCATATGGGGAGGTTGTTAAGTAAAGAATGGCATAAAATAAATGAAGAATGTGACAAAACAAGCTCTCCCTGAAACAGATAAATAGGGAGGACCAAAAAATTAAGGATCGAAATTCCCAAGTCACAGAAAGGCAGGCCCAGAAAGAAGGGCTCATGTTGCCCAGCTGAAGAAACAGAAAGAGCAAAGCCAGCTCAGCAAGGCCAGCTGTCAGCTCAGGGCTCAGCGAAGGAGGTGGAGAAGCAGACCAAGAAAGGAGGGGAGGGGAGAAAGGAATGTGTGAGGAAGAGCTCTGGGTCTGCCCCCAGGAAGGGATGGGGTACATGGGGAGCAGCTCCTACCTCAGGAACCACAATTGGGACCTTCATACATTCTCAAGACAGACAGCCTGATGTGGCCTTTTGCAGAGTTCTGCTTGATCACTTGAATAGAAATGAACACTAGAGCCAAGGCGCCACCCTGCAATCCCAAAGATGGGCTGCTAGTTAGGATGCCATATGTGGGGGCCAAGCTGATTGCCTCCAGAACCCACAGAAGGACTTCCAGGCCTGGGTGAGCCCAGGGAGGCACTGCAGCAGCCTCTGTGTTAGGACCAGTCCAGGAGACTCCCAGAGTCAGCTTTGGGACTGACACGGTCAGGTCTGAACAGTTCTCAGGCCCCATGGGGTAGTCTGCCGAGGGCAGGTCGAAGGCATCCATATTCCAGGGAGAAATGAACATTCGTATTGAATGAATTATAACAAGCCTGACAAACACCAGCTGTTGTAAGACTGTGTTCCGCTACAAGTAACTAATTGGTTTAAACAATAGGAAAACATGTTACTTCTGATAACAAGAAGTCTGAAGGCTTCAGGGTTGGTGAGTTTAGCAGCTCAACACTTAGTTTTTCTCTTTTGCCATCCTACACAAGAGCTTTGATTCCAGTCTTGCTCCCTCTGGGGGGTAAGATGGCAGCACAGTGCCAGGGGCCTTGGGCAGTTACCACACTATTGGGCTGAAGAGCAAAAAGGCCTATCTCTTCCTCTCTCTATGAGCAAGGAAACCTTTTTCAAGATCTCCAAGGCATCCTCCTCACGTCACATTGGCTAGAGCTGGGTCCCAGCAGACTCCTGAACTAATCACTAATCAGGAGCCCCAGATTTAGCCCTGAGCTGGGATATGAGGTCAGCATGGCCACATGGAGGAGGGTGGGCATCTGAACCAGCTCTGGTTCTGTCACCTGGAGCTTCTGCCCAAGCAGCATCCGTGTAGATAGCCTTAGGGTACCGGAATTCTCTGTTTCCCCCTCCTCATCCAGGTGTGTTCCTGGGACTCCCAGAGGGAGGCAGCATACTGTAGAGGTAAGAGGTTGAATCTGAGTATCAGGCAGACCTGGATTCAGATTTCAGCTCCTCATTTACCTGGAAGGCATGTGGTGATCTAGTCTCTCCAAGCCTCAGTTTCTTCATTAGTGCCAGGCAGATAACATGATGAACTTGTAGGGTTGTTAGAACTGTATTTGGAAAGCTCGGCAAAATACCTAGCCCAGTATCTGATACACGCCATGACCTTTGTAACTGTGAACTCTTTTTCCCTTTTACCCATTCTGAATGGAGTTTAGAGTAGTATCAGAGCCAGCAGAGGTGGCAGACGGGGGAAGAGTGCTTGTGAAGAACACACTCTAGGCTGGTCACTGGTCACAGTCCTCTGCCACTGAGCGCAAATCTGCCCCTCAACACAAGTGAGGCTCAGCTTTCCCAGCTCAGCCTGGCTGCTCTGAGGCCATGCTGTCCTGTTCTCATGTTCCTGGGCCAGCTTTTCTCCATTTTCCACACTGCTGGGACAGAACCAAAGGCCAGAGCAAGGAAGAATTTGTTTGTGAAAATGGGGTGAAATAAAAAGCTAGAGACCCACTGAATAGTCTTTTGTGGGGAGTTTGGGGTGTCTGCACTGTGAGGAGGAGGATGGCTGTGCTCGGGCCTCTAAAAGGCATCCACCCCATCACCTCCCTACCTGCCACATCTATGCAAAGGCCATGAACCTGGTACTTGCTCCCTCCACACTTCCAGTCTCTTTGCCTCGCTAAGTCGATCAGGAGACCCACTTTTCCAATGGGGAAGCCATGGTCCAGTGAGACAGAAAGCTTCCCCTGCATTTACCTATTTCTCCCTGGTCCCTGCCCCCCACCCCCATCTAGAATGGGAGCCAGGGGAGGGAGGGAGTTTCTTACTCTGGCCCCATCTTCCCAGAAGGAGAAAATTCAGGAAGAGGACCCATCTCTGTGGAAACTTTTCCCAGAAGAGAGTGTGGAGGGCCCATTCTGTGGTAACAAGGAGGCCAGGAAGGTATAAAGGAGGCAGGAAGGCGCTGGGGCTGGGTGTGGAGAAGAAATCTCAGAAAGTGGCTCAGTGGCTTCAGGAGCCTGTGAAAAGCCTGATTTCCTGTGTGAATGTGGCAGGAATGGTTTCCTCCCCTGCTCTTCCTCCTGTAGCTGACTCCTGGGACTTTAGGGAAGTGCAGGAAAGACAGAAGATTGGGGAGCTTCTACCTCCTATATCACCCTACTGTCTTAGCTTCCTAGTGCTGCTATAACAGAAATACCACAAGTGGATGGCTTTAACAAACAGAAATTTATTCTCTCATAGTTTAAGAGGCTGGAAGTCCGAATTCAGGGCATCAGCTCCAGGGGAAGGCTTTCTTTCTCTGTTGCTTCTGGGGGAAGGTCTTTGTCATCAATCTTCCCATGGTCTAGGAGCTTCTCAGCACAGGACCCTGGGTCCAAAGGACCCACTCTGCTCCCAGCACTTCTTTCTTGGTGGTAGGAGGTCCCTCTGTCTGCTCACTTCTCTCTTTTATAATTCAAAAGAGATTGACTCAGATATGCACTCTAATCTTATAGATTGAGTCCTGCCTCGTTAACATCATGGAGGTTAGGACTTAACAACACAGATGATAATCATATTAGATCACGAAATGGTGGACAACCACACAATACTGGGAATCATGGCCTAGCCAAGTTGACACATATTTTTGGGAGACACAATTCAATCCATGGCACTCACCCAACTCAGGAGGCAAAAGCTGGTCCCACAGGGTGTGATTAGTGTCCCCGAAGTGGGAAGGGGGTGAGGAGGGGGAGATGGAGCCACCTGGCTTATGTGGGAGCCAGGGTGTGCCCCCTGCAGCCAACTCCCGATCATGTTCTCCCACAGGAGGGCCGTGAAACGCAACAAACGGCTGTGGTGCTCCTTCCAGAAGGGCACCTGCAAGATCACACAGAAGACACGGCGACAATGCCAGGCCTGCCGCCTGCGCAAGTGCCTGGAGAGCGGCATGAAGAAGGAGAGTGAGTGCAGGACGGCCCGGGGGGTGAGGGACGGCCTGAGGGGTGCATGGTGCACGCGTCCCGGTGACAGCGTGGAACGGCCTCGCTGAGCAGATGCACAGCCATGCACCGCAAGTGTGTTCGCGTACCCATGCGCACGTGTGAGCTTGAAGTCTGTGCATGCGGCGGGCACGTGGAGGGGAAGAGCTGGCTGCTCACCTGCCTGCACCACTGCGGGTGACCTGGAGAGACCTGAGAGATGGTGGCATCTTTATTCTCTGCTCTGGGAGGTGTAGTGGGCATCTCTGGCTAGGGCTGTGCCACTTCGCTCCCTTCAGATGCCCTGCTTGATTTGTTTTTGTCCCCTTATAATTTTCCTCCTGCTGTTTTAACAAAATGGAGGGGAGGTGGAGTTTGGGGGAAAGAAGCAGGTGACACATGGTGATAGGACGTCCCTCCAAACTTCCAGCTGCTAGAGCCCACAGCTGCCCCAGCCTGGAGTCCTTACAGGGGGACTGTTTGCAAGCAGGTGATACGGGGTGTCCTCAAGCTACCCTGCTGAGCTTTGGTATATTTATATTCTCAGGTCACTCTGAGACTAAGGTTCATGGAGGAAAAGGCTAGAAGCTCCCAGTGAATGTTTGTCTCCATCAGTCCGAGTGACCCGAGGCCGGGGGCAGCCTCTCTCAAAGGATGAGTTCTCTGGGCACGCAGCAGAGAACCTTCCCTGCAGACCAGCCCAGAGTGAGGACCCTCGCCTGGCTGTTCCTGTTTATAAAACCTGTTGCCGTCAAGTCGATTCCACGTGTGTCAGAGCAGAACTGTGCTCCATAAGGATTTCAATGGCTGATTTTTCTGAAGTAGATTGCCAAGTCTTTCTTCCAAGGTGCCTCTGGGTGGACTCGAACCACCAACCTTTTGGTTAGCAGCTGAGTGCATTAACTGAACCACCCAGGGACTCCTGTTCCTGCTGACAGACACCCTCAATCTCACCCCTCCAAGGTCCCCCACATCTTTACTCCGCACACAGAAATGGGGTCAGGAAATCCATGAAGACCCGAACGCTCTGGGCCATAGAGGAGATGGCTAGGGTTCATATTTCTTGTTAAGCAGTAGCCCAGCTCTCCTGGGCCTTAAAGACCCAAAAGGCCTTGGGGGACTCTGAGGAGTCTTGTAGGTATATAATCCACCAGAAAACAATACTATCAGGTACCATTTATTGAACATTTATCATGTGCCAGGAACTATACTAGGCCCTTCACATGCAGTGTCTGACTCTAATAGCAGCATGAAGTACGTGTTGTTCCTCCAGATTACAATGAAGAAAGGTTAAGGAACTTGCTCAAGGTCACAGCTAGTAAGTGGCAAAGGGCCTTCACTCAAACCCAAGCCTTTGGATTCTGAAGCATGCGCTCTTTCCAATGTTCAACCATGTTGTCTGAACACCATGGCCGCATCAGGTACACTTCATCCCTTCTGTGCTTCCCTAAGTTGGTGTCCAGGGGGCCTACAGATCTGAGTCTGGAAAAACGCAAGTTTCTTGTCATCAGCCCTTTTCCTTTGGTCTGATGCCTACTGTGGAGCCCTGGTAGCACAGTGGCTAAGAGCTCAGCTGCTAACCATAATGTCGACAGTTCAAATCCACCAGATGCTCCTTGGAAACCCTATGGGGCAGTTCTCTTCTGTCCTGTAGAGTTGCTATAAGTCGGAATTGACTTGATGGCAATGGGCTTGGTTTGGTTTTTTTTGGAATGCCTACTGCTGCTCTGGAGGGTTAAGAAGGGGCTCCTGCCTCAGGCACTGCAGACAGGGGGTGTGTGCCTGAGCCTGTGCCTGCCTCTCCCTGCAGTGATCATGTCCGATGAGGCTGTGGAGGAAAGGCGGGCCCTGATCAAGAGAAAGAAGAGAGAACAAGCCAGGACTCAGTCATTGGGAGCGAAGAGTCTGACTGAAGAGCAGTGGACAATGATCAGGGAGCTTATGGACGCGCAGATGAAAACCTTTGACGCTACCTTCTCCAATTTCAAGAATTTCCGGGTATGAGGCTTTAGAGCTGGTTCACCCCTGTGTTAGATCCTCAAAACCCCAGTCTCTTTCCCAGGGGTTCTCAAAGTGGTGGTCCGGGGTCAGCAGCATCAGCATCACCTGGGAACTTGTTGGAAGTGCAAATTCTCAGGCCACCCCAGACTTCCTGAATCAGAAACTCTGGGGGGTGGGATCCAGTGATCTGTGCCTTGGCAAGACAGCCAGGTGATTCTGATGCACGTGCTCGGGTTTGAGAGCCACTGCTCTCTCCCTCCACAGCAGGTGGGAACTGAGGCTGAGCTGTAAATGGAGGGAAAACGAAAAGGTTCCCCAGTGTTGCTGGCGTTCGGGACTTTATGAGGACAGAGTCAAGACCTGTCGGGAGGTGTGACCTTTGTGAAATGGTGTTTATTTAGCCAAGAAACGTTAGTGATCACAGCAACGTTTGCATATCTGCTCCCAGTGCTCACAGTTATCTCAGCTGGCCTGCCCAGGTCAGCAGTCTGGATTAGGCCAGTGACTGCAGAAGTCTGTTTTCCCCATCTGTAGTAGCTCCCAGATCCTTCTCGCTGAGTCTCCCTGTGCCCAAGGTCAGGGATGCTTGGGACCCAGCATGGATGAAGGTCCCCCATTCATCCATTTGGGCAGGGAGCAAGCCTCCTATCTGGCCAAGCAGGGATGTGTATGATCATTAATTCACAGTCCAGAAAGCACTACCTGGTAGAAGACCAGAGATAGGAAACAAGTGCTCGGTGTGTGCATGGATGCGTGGTAAATGCACACCTGTAATTGTGCATGTATTCTGGCTGGGGCTGGGGCTGTGCACATTGAGGCCTGTGTGGGAGCCTGTTTGTGAGAATACCTGCCGTCTCTCCGTCCCTCTCTCACCTCCTGGCTTGTGTACCAGCTGCCGGAGGTGTTTAGCAGTGGCCATGAGGTTCCAGAGTCTCTGCAGGCACTATCGGGGTCAGAAGATGACAAGTGGAGACAGATCAGGGAAGACATGCGTCCACTGATGGTCTCTGTGCAGCTGCGGGGGGAGGACGGCAGCATCTGGAACTACAAACCCCCCACCAACAGCGACGGGAAAGAGATCTTCTCCCTGCTGCCACACATTGCTGACGTGTCAACCTACATGTTCAAAGGCATCATCAACTTTGCCAAAGTCATCTCCTGCTTCAGGTGGGACATGGGAGCTGGAGAAGAAGGCTGGGTGCGTAGGTGTGGGAGGGGAACAGGAAATGGCCAAGAGGTTCAAAGGGTCTGAGGTAGATCCCTCTGAGCCTGGGGGATGCTGTCCCTGGGTGGTGCAAACGGTTAACATATCTGGCTGCTAACTGAAAGGTTAGAGTTCAAGTCCCCCTAGAAGCACCTCAGAAGAAAAGCTTGGTGTCCTACTTCTAAAAACAACAACAACAAAACAGCCATTGAAAACACTATGGAGCACAGTTCTACTCTTGATACACATTGTGTTGCCACGAGCTGGAGTTGACTCGACCACACCTGGTGTGTATCGTGTGTGATGCCAGAAAATCCTCCTTCATCTCTGCCCCCTACCCACCCACCCCCAGGCGCCTGGAGCAGTCAGTGCTGCTGGGAGTAGAACCCCTCTTGTGTGGCTAATTAGCTTTGTGATTGTGGGCATGTCTTTTGATCTGTTTGTGTCTTGTCCTCCCCATCTGCTAAATGGGCTAATCATACCTATCTTGCAAGGTTGCCATCTAAAATAAGATAGTATCTGAAGAGTATCCAGCACAGGGTGGTCATTCAGATAGTAATTGTCACAAGTTGACAGTTCCAGAGAAAGAATGAGTTGAAAGGAAAGGGACGGAAGCCCAGAGAGAAAAAAGGAGCAAGATGGACAGACACTGGGTCTCCAGAAGTCTGCTGCCAAGAGAAAGCTGAGAAGGCCATGGGGACAGCAGGGAGGTCCTGAAAGCAACAGGGTTGGGCCTTCTCGGACTAGGTGTGGAGGCAACAACCATGGGGCAGCAGAAGTTAGTGGGAGAGCCCAGACATACTGGTATGGTGGGAACCACAGCCACAGAATCTGTTAGGGCTGGAGGTGGCCCTGGACATACCTTTCCTTACGATAGCCATCTTGCCTTGCCAAGCCTGGTCGATGGCGCTGAATAACACAAGGAGCCCTGACTTCACTGCAGGCAGAGGGCAGGTTATATTCCAGGAGCCTACAGACTGCAACAGGGTTCAGACTGTGGTAAATTTGCTCAAGGGAACAGGAAGAGAGGCCTACTTACAAATGCGGCATTGACAGATCCTTATTGACATCGCTGACCCAGTTTCGCGAGACCACCCGCTGTTGAGTACAACCGCTGCAGGACGTAGGCATTACTATCGCCTTCATTGTACAGATAAGAAACCGAGGTTCACTGAGTTTAAGAAACTTACACAGGGTCACACTGAGTCAGTGGTGGAGGCCAGATTTGAAAGTGCCAGAGCACAGACTTCACAGACAGCTATAAGCCAGGCCCTGAGCCAGGCAATGGGGAGACAGAGGAATAAGATCAATTTTTAGGCATTTGCAGTTCAGTATTATGGAGTCCCTGGGTGGTACAAACGGTTAGCACACTGGGCTGCTAACTGAAAGGTTGGAGGTTTGAGTCTACCCAGAGGTGCCTTGGGAGAAAGGCCTGGCAATCAGCTTCCAAAAAAATCAGCCACTGAAAATGCTATGGAGCACATTCTACTCTGACACATGTGGGGTCACCATGAATTGGAGTCGATTCGATGGCAGTTGGTTTTTTATTATGGATCTAAAGAAGGTCTGGGGTGCGGTGCAGGGAGCACAAGGGCCTGAATTCCTGAGGAGACCAAAGCCGGGGGGAGGGCTTCCTCAAGTGCCAGCCGTGGAAGACCCCACCCCAGCCTCCTAGGGCCTCCTCCTTTTCAGTAATGCCTTCCTCGGTGGGTAGCTGGGGTCCCTGTCTGCCTAGAGAGGGAGAGGTTCCTGCAGGATGGGAGGGGTTTCAATCTAACCACAAATATCAGATGTTTATTGAGCAGACCCTGGGGTAGGCTGTGCTCCGTGCTGGTGTGACACTCAAGACATCCAGGCTGCTGGGAGGGAGACAGTAGAAATACATACATATGAAATCAATCTTCTACTCCCCATCCGTCAGTTTGTCATACTGTGGTGGCTTGCATGTTGCTATGATGCTGGAAGCTATGCCACCAGTATTTCAAATACCAGCAGTATCACCCATGGTGGACAAGGTTCAGTGGAGCTTCCAGTCTAAGACAGACTAGGAAGCAAGGCCTGGTGATATACTTCTGAAAATTAGCCAATGAAAACACTATATATCACAACAAAACATTGTCTGACATAGTGCTATAAGATAAGCCCCTAGATTGGAAGGGACTGCACAATAGCTGCAACAGTGGACTCATATATGCCAATGATCGTGCGGTTGGCGCAGGGCTGGGCAATATTTCATTCTGTTGAGCATGGGGTTGACAGGAGTTGGCGTCAACTCAATGACAACTAACAACAAATCCAACACAGGCAGCAGGATACAAGCTACACCCCCTCCCCCCAGCATGGGACTAATGCCAAAGGAGGGGCATCTGCAGAAGGACACTGCACCTTGGAAAGTCTTTTGGGAGGGGCAAAGACATAGTCATTCCAAGTGGGAAAACTGAGGCAGAAAGAATGAGACCAGATCCAGCAGCCAGGAGCCAAGTCATCAGCTGTAGGATGGTAGCTGTGTGTGTAGTGGACTGGAAGAGATGGGGCCAGGTTGTAAGGGACCTAAATGCCAAGCTTAGTGGGAAGTCACTGAAGGCAGCAGGGGAGTAGAAGAATATGGCGGGGAAGAGGAATCTGGTTGGCTGGGTTGTGAGGAGGAGAGATTGGGGACACTTAGAAAGCAATGACGATAATCCTCAGGGGAAGGAGCCCATCCTAGCTCTTCCTCCAGCTCCCCATGATCTCTGGATTATGGGAGTGGGTCTGGCGCCAGCCCGCAGACAACTTCCCAGAGAACTGTTAACCCCTGCCCACCTTGCTTCCAGGGACTTGCCCATTGAGGATCAGATCTCCCTGCTGAAGGGGGCCACCTTTGAGCTGTGCCAGCTAAGATCCAACACAGTGTTCAACGCAGAGACTGGGACCTGGGAGTGTGGTCGGCTGTCCTACTGCTTGGAAGACCCTGCAGGTGTCCGAGGCCTCCTGCCTGCCCTGGGAGAGGGAGGGAACCACAACAGTTGTGGGAGGAAAGGAGCCATGCCGGGACATGGCGGAATGTTTTCACTGAGATCTCTGTGTCCAAAGACTCAAGCCCAGGCAGTACAGTAGGGGTTGGGGAGTGCAGCCCACCCCTCAGATACCCTGGTCCTGGGGTTGCAAGACAGGAAGACTGGGTGATGGAAAAAAAGTCCTTGGCGAGCGTGCAGAGGAGGGAAGGCTGGGTCCTGGGTCAGCTTCCTGAGAGGCTGCCCGTCTGTCCCATACCCACCTGCAGGTGGCCTCCAGCAGCTTCTCCTGGAGCCTGTGCTGAAGTTCCACTACATGCTGAAGAAGCTGCAGCTGCACAAAGAGGAGTACGTGCTGATGCAGGCCATCTCCCTCTTCTCTCCAGGTGAGGCCCCCATCCTGTCCCCGGTGTGTTCACACACACCTTCAGCTTTATCTCAGGAGGCAATCCCCCTCTTCCCCTATCAGGGAAGGTCCCATAGAC